ACCTTTGTCTACCCGGTTTACCTCTCTTTTTTTGCCTTTTTTTACCTTTCTTAATTTTCCACGATTTACATTTTTTGACCTTTACCTTTTTGGATTACCTTTTTTTTTCCTTTTTTCCACCTTTGTTTTTAAAAAGATAATCTTTTCCTTCGTCTCCATATGAGTAGGGGTTATAACCCTAGCCCTAAAGTTGTCCCTTCATTCTTCTCCTGCAACCCACGCAATTGGCTCATTGCACTACAAACATGTGGGCGCTTCCCAGTACAGATCGCAATATACTCCCGAACAAGGATCCACATCATTCCCTTGGCAACCCAGATGCCCCCAGCTGCGCGTGTGATGGGCTTCACATAATGCTCGTTGACTTGGTAGAGGTTTGGACCAACGTACCTGATGTCATGTGTCACTCACGGAATAACTCCGTGAGCCCTGAACCCCCAAGAACAGTGATCCAGGATTTCAAAGCTGAAGCATATTCTTACAGAGCGACTTTGGAAGACGGACTATATCCTGTCAAAAGTAACAGGAGGTTGAAGGCCTCTGAACTCGCAACCAGCTTCCGGAACTACATGAGACTTTAAGCGCAAAACACATCAACAAATTGCTGGGAGCGGATCTCAAGACTCTCATGCACGCCAGATCCCCTTATCCACTTCCGGGTATGCAGGCAAAGAGGTCCTTTCAAAAGTCCTACCTCCGGGAGTACACTACTTTATGGAAAATTGCGAAGACCCACTTGACATGCTCTAACTCCTCAATCAGCAGTTAGCCAGTTGAGTCGAAATGGTCACCTACATCCTAACGCAAAACCCCCTCCAAGCGCTTAACTTGCTGGCTGTTTGTAGGGAATGGCGGCATGGATCTCTATAACAGCTTAGCAGACCCTATATCGGACCCCGCAGTGCAACTAATGGTTCCCACTGTGTTTTCCCTCCTTTCCTTCTCTATTAGCCACCAGCAAGTTAAGCCTCAACCCTAAACCCTGCATATCTCTATAAGAAATGAGTATCCATTTCATTGTCCAAGGGCGTCTCCATGGGAGTTTCCAGTCACCCAACCCGAAACCCACTACCATGTGCCCTGAACCCTGAGCCGTGATCCCCGAGCCCTAAATCTTGTTAGGGTTTACGGTTTGGGTGTAATTAGGGAAGCCTCAGACCCTTGACTCTGAATCCTAAACCCCTAGGCCATATGGGAGTTTCCCAAAGTTAGGGGTACCTTTTGAGGGTCCTTATAATAAGGATTATAAGATTTTGGGGTCTATATTGGGGTCCCTTATTTAGGGAAACTACCATATAGAAGCCTAAACGTTGTGCTAAGTGCCCTACTTGGAGTCGCCACTCTCAGGGCTATCCTGCTCGTGCGGAAACTGCCCATTCCTTGGCCGATGGTCATGCGAAACACGCTTTGGGGTTGCGGGATCCCACAGGAATGGAGAAGAACATGGAAGGTACTATAGTATTTGGGGGCTTTGGGGTTTTGACGTTGAGGAACTCAGGTTTAAAACTTCTCTGTGCTGCAAAAGTCTCATCATGGAATCTCTGTGCCCTGAAATCAAAGCAAGGTGCGCTTCAATGTCTCACGAGCCTAGCCCTGCTGAAAGTTTACATGCTGGAATCTGTGCGCAAAAGTGAAGTTTCGCTGCCTTTTCCGCGCCATGAAAAATTACAGAACCCTCTGCCCTTAAACCCTAAATCCCAAGAGCCAATAAGTGCCCAGAGTCCTGCACAGCTGCCGCACCTTGCCGTGCATGACATTTATGAGGATTGCGGAATATTGTAGGCCCGTCTGGACAGTAGTTGTTTCTGGATTTGAAAAGTGAGAGAGGTGATGTTTTATGTTTTTGGCCTAGGCAGGAAAGCCTTTTACCTAGACCTGTGCCCATCTCATGGTACCTTCATATGCAGTAGTCAAGAAAACCCTTTGCCTATGCCGACATCTATACCCATATTGCAGCACCTTCATGTAAGTTTCCTCAACGTCTACCCAGGCTATAGGCAGCGTCTGGGTGTGCTTATAAATAAGTAGAGTCGTTGCCGCTGTTTCTACAAATTGGCATTTCTGTAAATAGGGGGCCCGTACCCATGCACTATACCCACTATTAGAAAGACTTTGCTCATCTTTTTGGGCTAGCGCCCGTTTCTCCAAATTGGGTGTGCGCACAGCCGAAAGGCGAGCAGGCCGTACAAAACAGAAGTACACAACTTTGAGAACGACTCAATGGTATTTGGAGTTTACTGGCACACCCACGCTGAGTGCAAGTTTTGCCCATAACGGAATCGACGGCTGACACAGCTGGAAACACTTCGCATTGCCACCTGAAACTGTCATGCTCGTAGGAGAAAAGTTGTTCAGAACAGCAAAGCAAACCATGGAACATTCAAAGGCGACCAAAATAGCACTTCG